AACTGATTGGTATCAGGTCCTCTGTTTCATCACTGGATGTTCACTGCCTCTGCTCCAGACTCTTAAATATTCCCTTTGCCTCCTGTTTGCTAGACCAAACAAACACAATTTTATCAACTTGTCCTTACACGCCAGGTTGCCTCACTGCTTATCAGCCTTCCTCTCTCTCCTGGGCTCTCCTCAGTCTGTGCTTAGAGCTGAATCCTGTTTTCCAGCTAAAACATTGCCAGCATGGAATGGAAAACAGTGGTTTACTTTGGCACCTTGCACACACGCACACAGATGGTTGAACATGGCAGGCGCTCACCTCCAGTATTTTCCTTCTAGTTTCCTGTTCTTTTGTGGCAGGACGCTATCACAGCACACGTAAGTGGCGTGAAGACAATTCTGGTGGGAACGAATTTTGCAGGTCTTCCAAGATCAAGAGTCTCATACATTTGGGTTTTTTTATTATTTTCCAGATGTATTCCTTAGTCAGTTATCTCAGGTTTTTTTTCCCCAGGCAACATTTTAATGAGCTGGAAAAAAATCTTTGAGCCATTTTTGGTCAACAAAGGAGAACAAATATCATGTTGGTAGTTATTTTGTTAGCTAATATGAATGCTTTTCCTTGAAATGTGAAGAAAAGACTAACTGTACAGAACTTTCTGGAGTACAGCCAGGTTACTTCTGAAAGGGTGAAATTCCGCTGCGCTCTCTGCCTGTATGGATATTGCTGTTGCTATGTGGAACGTTCGAGACCAACAGTTGGAAATAGGTGTTGAAATACTTCGGAATGTTACCACATTGCAAGGGATGAGTAAGTTTTTACTCTAAATCACTGACTGCCATTTAATTCAGCCTGGTTGAAGGAATCCACAGTTTCGTTAATTAACGCATCTCTTACTTCCGTGGAAGAGGAAGGGTTAACCTCGAAGCCCAGCAAAGATAGCAGTTTGAGCCTATAGATCTCTCTAACTCTTACTTGGGATGTATTCTTGGCAAAGAGAAATAAAGGCAGGAAATAACAAAATACTGATCACAAATTTCTGTCATATCAGCCTAAGAGCTGGAAATAGTACATCTGAGCTTTTTGTCTACCATTTTTGCCATGTTGGGATTACGCATAATGCAATGCTGCAACTACCAGCAGCCTTTCTTTACCACATAGTGAATTTAACTGTACAATTAATGTATTCTTGCTGCGATGCTAACTTTAATGTAACATAAATAACTCATTAAATACATTATTCACTGACCATATCAGGTAGTTTAATTTATGGTGGACTTACCTTCAAAATGCAGGAGTTTTGTTTAACTCTGCTGACATACCAGCTGTCAAGTCAACTGTGTGCTCAGTAACGGGAATATAGTACCAGGCAAGGCGAGCAAGGGGTTACTTCCTTTGACAAAGAACAAAATCAAAACTGTGCTAAGGCCTTTTTTAGCTCCAGTATAATATTTTGCAAAGGCAACAGGAAAAGAAGGAATGAGAATATTTCCAGACAAGATTTCTTCATGCATAAACCCCCCCCCCAGTCTTAGTGCCAGCATATATTACAGGAGGAGAGCATAGTTAATAGCTGTATAGCACTGTAATCAGTAAATAGCAGTAAAGAAACCTAAATCTGCTGTGCCCACCTTGATGATGGTTGGGTCCTTCCCTAACATACCAGTCCCACAAGTATTTGCATATGCACTTAACCTTCCTTACAGACCTTCCCAGGTATAGCTCAAGTGAGTACAGCTGTGTGAGCGGCTGAAAGCATTTACAAGGTTATACAGAATTCAGGCTTTAAACAATAAAATAAAACCCCTTGAGGATTAGTGTGTTTTGATTATTGCTTTAGTTTTTGTACATTTCAGACTACCTACCCTGGTGTAGAATTTTTCTGTGTGCATTAGCAGTCCATTAACACATTTTTAAAATTTTTGTAGATCATAATTTTATGAATATGCACTTCTCGTCTTCCTCTGTTGTTGTCTGGAACTCTGTTTTTAACAGGCATTGGTGACAACTATTGAGTGGTATTTATAGCCTTGTTTTGCACTCTACTGGAAGGACAAATCTTAAGACATTTTATTCCAGTACCTCAGATGAATTTTCCACAAATTGCTCTTACATTGCAGGAAGTAGCCCAGCTACGATAAAGGGGTTGTATAGATAGAAAAAAAGGGCAAGCGACTGTCATCTTTTTACATGTCAGCAAAAGATAGCCGCAACCAGCATCAAGAAGAAAAATATATTACAGTCAAGGCACAAAAATAACTATCTGCCTACTCCACTTGCTGTTCCTTTAATAAAGCTAAATGGCTTCATAGAATTTGAATATGACTTGTCATTTTAACATCTATTAATTCTAGTTTTGTCTTTTCTGTGTAATGGGAAGAGAGAGTTTTACTAATTGCATTACATGGTCAGTCCTGAAGTGACTTCTTTTTATTATTCCCATTGTTTTGTAGAGTTATCCATGTTTTATATTTCCTTCCTGGGACTCTAGACGTTCTTCTTGTATATTAAAGAACAGTTTGATTCTTCCATCTTTACTCTTGCTCGATGTCATTTGTTCGGTATTGTTTTGTGCTATGAAGAGAACTGTAGAACATGGAGGCAAGGACAATAGACATCTTAGCTAATGAACTAGCTTGGATACAAGCAGAATACCTAAGCTTTAAGCAGTTTGACGTTTCACATCAGTGATCCACACATTACATTAATGTCTTTGTTACACAGCCAACACGTGATAGGCCTTACAAGAGTATGTATTTTTTGTGACACAAAATGAAATTATACTAGTTTCAGGTTACTGTATTCTAGCTCTTTATCAAAACTTTTTATATCAACAGCAAATTCAATACACTAGTAGCATCCCTTCAAAATACCGCACCTAAAGATTCCCAACAGCTTAACTGTCAGCAAACTCCCAAATTTAAATATTTATGTTACACAAAGGGGAGTTATGAGGAACTCTCTGTGTGTGGCTACATCAACCTAAGTATGTTTATAGCAAGGTTTTAGCAGTAGCACAGCTACTTATGACAATGCTTTTAGGAAAAGTATCAATACAAAAAAATCTCAAACTCATGCATTGATTTCAGTTGAGTAAGGTGGCCCAAATCTGCTTGTGGATAGAGTTGATTACTAAATAACATATTTAAAGAATTCTGTTCATGCTCTTTTGAACATGAAGTAGCCAATTTTCCTTTGTTTTGTAACTGGTTACAAACTGTCATCCTGGGTTATCTTTAAAAATCTGGGTAAGCATGATAGACCTAACTCTAAGGTCACATCCTATTACAAATACTTCAGTTGGAAGGCTAAATACAAGGAGAAGAAAAATCTGTCTGGAAAAACATAACTTGTGCTCCCACTGGTTTGATGCCAGTTCTGCAATTAAGAGTTAAGACTGGGCTTAGGTCTGGCATCAAATGATATTCTCAAGTAGGCAGCTGTTTCAAGAAAAGAGTCAAAAATGTTTCTATGTCAAAAACATAATGATAAAAATAGGCATAGCCTGCCAGCTGGCACATCTTTCACAGAAGTAAAGTGTCCAGCAGCACAACTGAATGAAACAATATTTGAAAGCTGATAATTAACTTTCAACAATATTGCCATTTTCCGTCTTAAAAGTCTGTAAATATTTCCCACAGGTGAATGATTATCTGTTTTACTCTGATTATTTTATGCCTTCTAAACAGGAAAAAACTCATGATAGCCGTGCTTTTCCTCACAGGCAAAACATCCTTTTTTGGCAGGAACTGATTTAGGCTGTTGCAACTTCCTATTTAAAGTGTAGATTGAAAAAAACAATCAAGTGAAGCAGATGTTTAGCTCCTTTAATGGGCAAAACTATTTTTAATACATTCTGATAGACATTGCTTTTAATTATAACAATGTATTATCTCAAGGCAGTCTTTCAACTTAATGAATTTACATTAAAAAAATTTATGGCTCCAGCAGCATTGCAGTATGTGATTTAACACATTTCTTATATCTTAGATGTCCCTAGAAAACATATCATCACTGTATTTAAAATTGCAACCTGGCAAACTACTGAATTCAATAAGCAGTTTGAAACTGCAGAGAAAACAAATGCAACATAGGGAAACACAGTAATGAGGTCTTGCATTTGAAATAGTTGTAGATTGTATAACAAGTCATATTAATCCAGTGCCATGAAGCTTGAAGGAATCCCACTGTGCCTTCAAAAGACCAGCATCTTGTATAATCTCATTTTCATTATAATTAAAATAATCTTACTACTTTCCTTTACAGTTCAGCAGAACCAGTGTTTCAAAATGATCAGCTTGGCACCTCTTCTTCCTGCTTTAATTTTACATTTGAACTGTAGACATGCTTAGAGAACTACATGGATGTAAGGTGTTAACGTTTTTCCATTTACTTTAAGCCCCGCCTCTCCAAAGTGCTGCTATCAGTGCCCCATTCTGAGAGCATATGACCATTTGTGAGGGAAAATAAAATAATTTATATGCGCAATATAAATTTCCAGGTTCTACTTAAGGCGCCGTTGAAGAAATATTTCTTCATTCTCTCAAGCCTTTCACTCGAACAGCTGGCTGAGATATGAGCTCAGTGAAAAGCAGTATTTTTTTTCTTGTCATCCAGTACCCTGTTTACTGTTCTTATTTGGAAGGATTGAGTAACAGCCGTTCTTCCACAGTGTGACCTCCAATAAGTCATGATCCATTTTCCTCGCTTCCAGAAAAAACAAAATCAAGGAAATAAGGTGTCATGTGACTTGAACTACATTTGCTCTGGCACATGTTACACTCCCATCTCCGAGGTCCAAATTAGAATTTGTTGTAGCAGTCTTGGTAATTTCTGCAGGCGGTGGTTGTCCTGACCTTTTAATCCAGCTAGATTTTTCCACTGGAGGACTGAAGTCATGGACTGTAGGAAGGATTGACTTCAGTCAGTGGGTTATGAGCAATTAACGTGAATCATTGCCATTCCAAATTACCAGTGCTCTGATCCACGTAACAAACTGCAAAAAAGTCAGTCACAACAACAGCCTGTTCACCTGAGAAGGACAGTCTGGGCAATGGCTGCCTTGTCCCAGAGGACTACGTTTGGTCACTGAAAGTACAGTCACTACAACACGTGCTGCCCTCTCTCCGAGGCAAAGGCAAGTGTCCAGCAATGCCCGAGCACGTCCAGTCACTGTGGGGTAAGAGATGATTGTTTCGTAATCCATTCGGGACAACGTTTGCTGTGAGCGAAGGACATCGAGGATGTGGTTGAGGCGCCCTTCTGTCATGCAGCTCAGTATGGTCTGTCTCTGACAGGCTAGTATTCGACAGCAGTTTCCTTTGCAGCAAGGATCTTGAGTGAAAAGGAAACAAAACGAGATAAACTAAGTGCTCTTTTCTTCCAGAAGTTGTTAGCAAGTGATAGCATGAACACCAGAAATACAAACTCAGTAGAGGAAAGGGGTAGGAAGAGTTAGTTTATTTGCGTTATTTGGTGAAAACCAGTCCAGTGTATTTTTGTCTTTTGTTCAAAACACATGAAGATCAGATTACAGAAAATAGGTGTTTCTAGACATTATGAAGTGCTTGGGTTGTGTGAGGGGAGCAGATTTTCAGGTCTCACACTATTCACATGGCATCCGTATCAAACTTTACGGAAAGCAGCTGGACTCGACAATAGAGGAGAAAACCGTGTTCTGTACAAAGTAGAAGAACAGAGAATAGGTAGTTCAGGGTAGGAGGACTGTTTGAAACATGCGTTGTGAAACTGGGAGCTTGGATATATGTCAAAGCCAAACTAGTAACAATAGTAATACTCCTGGAAAAACGATCAAGAACTTTGAGTTCTGTTTCACAAACTGATCAGAAAACTTAGTACAGACATTAGGGTTTTTAGTGTACAGTAAATACCATACACCAAGAGAAAATTAATAACCAAAAGCCATTGTTGCTTTGGAGAACATGCCTCTGTCATTCTGATTTCTGATTGTTGCCAGTGGGGTTCTGTGATGAACTTTTCCTGCCTGAACTAGTCTGTTGATTTATCCAGAAATTATGTCACCACTCAGAAGTAAATTGGAGAAGGATGGCCAGCTAGTTGTGAGAACTTTCATAGGCCAGCTTGCAAAAAGCTAGCAAAAAAAAAGCTCACAAGCTTCACCTACAGGCAGAGGCAGGCTTCACAAATCAGAAGCTGGCCTTTTCTGCCTCTCTGCAGTAGGAAGAACCGAGACCATGTAAGTAAGGAAAGGAATGGTCCCGACTCCTCCTAGTCACCTGTTTCCGTAGTAAGTACGTACTTTTGTAGAGGTATAAAATACACCACTTAAAATAAAAAGAAAATCCAGGCTTAAACAACTAAATCTCTTCCACATTCAATGTGTGCTGTATTTTCTTTATTTTTATTATGGTCTCTTCAGAACTGTTCTCAGCCTGAATATGACCTTGGAAAAGAAGAAGCCAATGTTCTCAGTGGCCAGCGCCTGAACTTCTGAGAACCTGATTAGCTGCACACAAATAGACTCATGAGACATTTGTATCAAGTTTGGAAATGTGAAAATGTGCATAAAATTTAGAGAGAACTGTGTCCTCAAAACTTTAAACAATTTAATCACTAAGATCTGGCCAAGGAGAATATTGCCACTTCAGATTGGAAATGGTGTCTTACCTGTCACTGCTTGTTCAAGATGCATAGTTTGTGGTCTGTCCTTACGAGCCAGGGGTGGGTCCTTATGCTGACCGCTTTCTTTGCCTGCAGTTGAACCAGGTAAAGGAACTGTGTAGCAGGAATTTGATTTTCTACTGTCAGAGCCTGAGTGATCTAGAAAAAGTTTAAGATGAGTAAGATGAGACCCTTGAATTGAACAACAGAACATTATGCGTATGTTAGCCACTGCAGAAGACTGGAACTGACGTGAAGACTAACTGGAGAGTGCTTACTTATTACTAGCTGTTCTTCAGGCCCTGGTTAATACGTCGTGATTCCTAGGAAGATTTTGGCATATGGACATCTGACTTTTTCAAACTGCCTGTAGGAATTTGTTTCTGAAGTTATGGATCATTCTGTTCTGTCCATGAGTCTGACAGCTATTGATCAACACTAAAATGCTTGGAAATGCAGATGTTGCTATAAGTGAATTGATTTTCTATGGGTCAACTTTCATATCCAAAGGCATGAGGAGTACAGAAAAATCCTCTGAGGAAATGTATCTCCTCTTGACACAAATTTAAACACTTTGATAGGACAACTCCACATTGGAAAGGCAAAGGAAGTTATTTATATAGGAATGGTGACTACTAGGAATCATTCACTTGTTCACAGTCTTCTTAAAACATATCTCCTTTTCTTATTAGCAAATTACAAAAAAGCAGTTATTCCTGGTGGCAAAAGGCAGTGTCGTTCCAAGGATGGGCTTGCTCTGTCAAAAGCAACAGGCAATACTAGACATGCAAGGGAAAGGCAGCTGTACATTACAGGTCAGGGTTCTGAAAAAAATTTAGCAAAAGAGGCTTTTTGATCTATACACTTAATCTAAAGGTATTGTGGCATCTCTGGCTTTCTGCAGTGAATTTATGCTTGGATGATACCAGTAGAGGGCACAGCTGTACTCCGAGAAGGGACCACCTTACATGGAAAACAACATGTGTGTATGGAACAACTGGTAATATCCTTTTCTTAAAATAACTGGAGCTGAAGATGGTTCAGGGTCGAGACCTTTCTTTGTTGTTGTGTTCTGTGGGATAGTGTTTGACAGACCTGTCTCAGGAATAGTTTCTCTTCCTGCATGATTTGCACTGCTATCAAGTAGAATAGTTGACAAGCTTGGCACTACAAAAGGAATTTTCTTACTGATTAAGAGGTTGGGTTTTTTTGGACAGATGATCTGAAAAAGATAAAAATAGAGAAGAATTATCTTGTTGGAAACTTTTGTTCTGAAACCTTTTCTAAGCAGTTTTCTCTTGGAACAGAAGGCAGTAGTATCACAGTGCAGGGCAGGGTGGGTATGCAGCTGTTGAGCCTCCAGTCACACTCACTGTGACAGCACAGGTCCACAGGCTAACTGTCCTAGGGCTTACTGCAGTCTGAGATCGCTGCTGCAGCCTGTGCTGCCAGCGGTCATGCTGTTTAGTTTGAAGCTAGCTCTGATCCAGACATGCGAGCTTCAGTTCTACCTCTGTATCTTTCAGTATTGGCAGGGGGGCCACAAGTGCCCAAGTGCCAAAATCACTTTGAAAATGGCATTTAGCTGTATTTTCAAGGGATCACAAAGCAGATGGCCTTGCTCTAAGAAGACCAGTTCAAAATTCTAGAATTCAGCCTAGGACTTTTTCCAGCCATCATTCTGAAAATACTACAAGAAAGGTTAGATTCTTGCCATTTCATTAGGACCTCTTCAAGAAGGAGAGGTTCAAAGCAACTCTTAAGTGGGAGAGATTGTATTTGCAAGAGCAACATCAGAGTCAGCTGCTTGGAAGAAAGTACGGCAGTGGGGTTTGTTGGTTAATTGAACGGTGTTCTGATCAGGGACATTTTGCCCCACAATGTTTGTATTACACATTGTCAGGGCTGGCAGGAGAAACAAGCAGCTGATGAAGCACTCTTACGCCATGTACTCACCTCTGAATTGCATATGCCCGTCTGCAGTGTGTATATTTCTGAACCTTTGCATGCATTAAGTGCTGTCTCCTGGAAAAAAACAGCACAGTAACTCTAGTAAGTATACGTGGGGTTTGTTCAATTCACAGCTGTCAGGAGCAAGAGTTTACTGGTACTGACAAGATATGTTATACTCTGACGTACACCGTTACGTAATAACAGTGAATGCACAGAGCAATTTTGCGTTTTAATGCATGTAAGCGGGCACAGAATCTGACACAACTCTGTCCTGTTACTCCTTCTGCTGTTTTAATTTTATGTTAAAACCCAGTTTTGAATCATGCAGGGGAAGGTGAAAATAGCCCTGTATTGATGGAGAGAAAGAGACTGGGCTAGCTATAACATGTTTTCTTTAAGCATCCAAACAGCAGGGCTGTCCTGTGGTTGGTATGCCAAACTGTCTGGAATAAGGATGTGTCAGTACTTGTCGTTGTTTTCCATTTTGTACATCTGCAGCAGATTTGTTGAACTATTTTTTAGTGTATATACCTCAACACTTACGAATCAATCCATTTTCAAGAACCTCT